AGGCATCACCTGATCTTTTAGACTCATCACAATATATTTATTCAGAACATTGCTCTTACCATTCTCACTTGCACTTAGGAGAAATCCACATTTAGATATAGGATTCATAAATCAGGGATCTAGGAAAATGAGATTATACCCTCAGTGGTCCCACATCAAAAGCCTGCTTTTTCAGGAGCTTACGTTCAGGATGGTACCCAGCATTTTCTGGGAAGCAGCCCTTAGTAGAGTTTCTCTTGAGGGCAGGAAGGTAGGAGCTCTGGAGGGAACACACAGAGTCCTGCCTGCCATTTAGAAGAGGCTGGGGTTTTGCATACCCTAGTTGCATGCACTCACCCCCTCACACCTCTGGTATATACTGTACCTTTGTGAGGATGTTGGAGAGTAGCAGCTGCTGGTGGATTGCGTCAGCATTTCCTCTGCAACAACGTTAAATTTACTCTAGCATTTGGAAAACACTTAGACTACAGGCCAGGAAATGTGTTGACTCCCCTCTTGCAGGGTCCAACGGTCAATTAACATCAGAGAAAACCACGAGGGGCCTGATTTTCCAAGGTGATGAATGCACTCAGCTCCACCTGGTGTCATTGCAATCCAGCTGCCCATCTTCACAGGAAGGAAGGCAATGGGCCTTGACGTGCTCCAGGAAGGTAGTGTGATTCATTGAAAACAATACTGAATCACGCATCTGCCCCTTGAATTTTAGTCCCAGCTATGACATTTATTTTCTAGGTAACTAGCTCAAGTCACCTTGACTCGCTTTCTCAACACACTGCTTCTTGGGATACACTTCCCAAAGATTATCTACAGAGTACATGTATTGTGTATCCACACATCTGCATGGTGGTTTTCTTCTTTTCCCTGCTTTGCTGGAGATAATCTTGTTATGGCCAATGCTGCCTGAACTACTTGAAACCAATCAAAGAAATGCATCTTTCCATCACTGAGCAAGAGAAAAACGTGGCACAATTTCAGGGTAGATACAGAAGCTTTATGTCTGTCCTGTTCAGAGTTACTGTAATTGTGCTGGCATGATTCCCAGAGCTGAGCTAAGGTCAGTGAGAAACCTGTAAATTAATTACTGTGGAGCCGATGTGATCTCTATCCAGGAATCACACTGTACATTCATGAAGCTTTATAGGAAAGAAAAGTTATGTTTCAGTTTTGCCAAGAAATGTTTAAAATTTTAAAATCTTAATATTGACAATTATCACACTCTGAACCTATTTGGAGATGTTGGACCCAATTCTGGTCTCACCATCATAGGAACTCCATAAAATGGGTTAGTCTGGATTAATTATATTGGTGCTACCCAAATGAACAGGAATTGGGTAAAGCCTTCTCTGAAACCGAGCCTGGATGAGCACTCTTTCCTTTGGGTGTCTTATCTTACAAAGAAGAGATTTGTCCGTCCTTCTGGTTTTACCCAGCCACTGGCAACATCCAGTCAACCCAGTCTCTAATTAATATTATTGATTAATAGCTAATCGCTGTTGCTGCTTGCATTATTAACATTTAGGAATCCCATTGTACTACAACCCAGAAACATAGAAGCAGAAAGGACTTTCTGGTCAGAGGAAATAGTTTTCTGCTATTGCAGGTAACCACGTCAGAGTCATTTAGATATCTGTCAGTGTCTTCTTCCCTATTCTGAAAGACTGGTCCAAAGCCTCTCTCTGAAGACTACAGGCCTTCTAATTTATAGGCTAAAGTTATTTATTGCCAAACTATACCTACTCATTCTCCTGCCATATTATTGTTCACCTTAAAATAACCGTTCCTCTCTGATGTTTGCACTCCTGATATATTTATAGGGCCCACTGTCATCTCCTCTCAACACTTCTTTTGGCGAGTCATACAAACCAAGCTCAAAATTTCTTGTCATTAAAGAAGGCTCAGGTTTTTTTGGTATATCCTGGGGTCACATTATCAAGTTCATATCAAACTGGTTGCTCATAATCACTGACTATTAAGATGGAGCTCATCTCTTTCTTTGTCCTCCCTGGTTGTAAAGGCAAATGGAATGGAAGTTCCCACTGTAGTAAAAGGTTTTGTAAGTATGTGACCCTGCACTGTGTACCGCTTCATTTTATTCAATTCCTATTACCCAATCTCCTTCTTCCTATCTTGCTTTGATAACACCCCTTAATAATTAGCAAATGTTACTAGCATGCTTCTGTCTTTTCCAAATGGTGCTAACAGAAATTAAAATGAGTATTGTCCATAAGAACCTCCACTACAAACTATCTTTTTGCCTGACAGTTGTCCTTGCAGCATGATCTCTCACCCCCATTAGCCAGCTCTTTTTGTCTTGTGAG